TGAAAAGTCAATTGTTATGATAGCAGCAAATACACAAAGCATGGCACTGTCTCAGCTTTCTCTAACCTCCCCCCCCCCCCCCCCCGACCCCCACCCACACACCTCTTCTTTCCACCCTAGTAACATTACAGAAATCGGATGAAAGGAAGAAGGGGACAGAACCTGGTTTTATTGCGCAATAATAACAGGAATAACTTTTATTACTAGGCAGTTTAACTAGGCTTTTGCCCATTGAGCCCTGACAGCCCTTGTCACCCTTACAAATTATTGGGGCTTAGGTTTTGTTTAATTGCACAGAAATAATAACAAATATTACTATATCATCCCCCCAATCATCATTATTATTGTGTGCTGAATGGCAAATAAATAAATAATGATGATTTGAAATAATGTTAAATGTTTGAATAATCATTAATCACTAATCCTTCCGTCCTTTTTAGGACGAAATTCACCATGTGAATGAGGATCACCGTGGAGAGGTCACAGAAACCGCGTTCAGACAATTGACCATATTTATGGCCTTCCTATATTGCGGCCCCTGGCAAAAGCCAGGGTGGGGCTTCAAAGAACAAACAATTTCGTCCTAAAAATAAATAAATTTTACAGGATAAGGTAGCCAACCTCAAGCCCAACCCTACCCTTAGTCGCCTCTTACGACATGCCTGGTAGGGTGCAGTAGAGTAGGCTAAATCCACCATGGGAGTCGTGGTGTAGCGGATCGGAAGATCCTTGGTTCGGGTCCTGATTTGACCGGGCTTTCTTAAAAAATGACCTTGGCTCCCAGGTCGACTCAGCTCTGAGTGAGTACCAGACGCAGTCCTAGGAAGTAAAGGTGGTAGGCACGATGTTGAGCATATCATCCACCAAGCGCCGATCGGTCTATTAAATATAGGTCTAGCCCAATAATCCTAACACGCCTGAAGGATCCTTTCTTCGTCTTTTTCTTCCTCTTCTTCTTCTTTTTCTTCTCTTTCACCATTTACCTCAGCGAGGTGTTGTGGAGAGATTAAGTATCGATTGTGCGCTTTTTTCAATGCTTTTTTCCAAATGATCATTTACTTTAATTATATCAGCCATTGGCGGCCCAATCCCGCATTGGAAAGGGAGAGGGTTATGTGTGGGGGCCAGCTCCCTGGATCTGCAGACGTTTTTTTTTTTTTTTTTTTTGCTTTAGAAACTTGTAGGAAAGGATGCAGTTCAGGTATACTAAACTGACAACATATGAGGGAGAGTTCTAAAAAAAAAAAAAAAAACGCTGTAGATCTGTGTTTCTCAACCTTTTACATAGACGACCCACCAAAACGGGACATTGTTTCGCGGCCCAGTCAAGATCGAATAAAACACAAAAAATCAACAACAAAAAAGTAGATAGCAGTTGTTGTTATCTCCACCCCCCCCCCCTCCCTTCCCCCTCCCTACCCTCGCTCCCCACATGAAATCCGATGAAGCAAATATACAATTTTCAGATAATGCGACGATATAAATGCAGAAAATCATACCCTTTTAAAAAACATCTGGTTTAAAGCAAGGTGATGCTCTGTCCTCACTTCTTTTCAACTTGGCCATGGAGAAAATTATAAGGAAACTGAAACAAGAATTTACTATAGGAGAAACTACAAAAATACTTAGATATGCTGATGACATTGATATCGTTGGAGAAAATGAATTACAGACTGTTAAAACACTGACAGTCTTAAAAGAATCAGCTCAGAAAATGGAACTAGTTAACAATCAAGATAAGACAGAATACATGATAATAAATAAACAGGGAAAGGATATAAACTCTGGCCACATACAAGTCGATAATATGAAAATCAAACGAATTTAAACATATAATTACTTGGGTGCAAATTTCAACTGCTCCAACATGCTGAGAGAAGAAATACAATCTAGAATACAATCTGGAAATAAAGTAAACTATGCCCTTCAACATCTGCTAAAATCACAGTGACTGTCTCGTAACACCAAGATCAACATATACAAAACTTTGATTAGACCATTTCTGGTGGCACCTTTAGAAACTGCTATATGTATTTACTGCGTGTGTATATTTCTGGATTGGCCGGGACTAATGATTTTTTTTTAAACCAGTTTTATTTTCCCCTTTAATTTGACAGTGAGGGAAATGTCATTTGATTTTCACTGGAACGGATCAAGTATGGGATGATCCAATCCCAGTGAAGTTAAAACCTCGACTAAGACTAGAAATTGGAGGTTTAACAAAATGTATCTTATATACGTGGCTAGAGCGCTGCAGTGGATATCCATTCGATTTTTCTGTGTGTGTGTGTGTGTGTGTGTGTGTGTGTGTGTGTTTTTAAATATAAATTGTGTATTCAAGATATGGTTGAAACAGTGTTGTCTGTTTAGACAACAGTCAGTCCCTGGGGACCGTAGGGTTATGGTTAGGGAAACAGCGCCTGCTGTGACTAAAGTCAATTGTTGAATTCGCAGTCTCTGCCACGTAGTTCACACAAAAACATTGCCACTCTATTGTTCTGAGGCAGGTTTTCTCTCCGACCTCTCCTCTCTATAGCGTTTGGCCTCTTTCAAACTGCGATAGTCTGTCAAAGGAGTCGTTCTGCAGCTGATATACCCCAAGTGTCTGTAGTTAACAATCTGATAGCTCTGTAACTCAGAGATCAATATTTTTTTTTTTTTTTACATGATAGTTAGAAAATTTGGCTGTCAATGAGCTGAAGAAAACTGTTCTGTTCTAAAAGATGATGATGATAACGAGTTTCCTGTTGCCCTCTGAACAGCTCGTCTCTTATTATACTTTAGTATAAAACAATGAAAAGCGGACTGTTTCCAAATCCCTTGAAGCTGAATCGTTCATAACACTTTGAGCCACAGATGTGAACACTGGTTGCCACTGCGACCAGGGGTGTGAAATGTTTGAACAAAATATTCATGAATATGAGATGGTGGAGATACCGGGGTATCCTTTCAGGTGGTTCTATGTCGTGCGCTGCACACGGTCAGACCTTACAACTAGACAAGAGGGTGAGTAGTATCATGATTTTGTTTATTTTATTTTTTTTTTTTTTTTTATATTTCCTCCTCTCGTTTTATAACTCAGGGATATGTAATGTCTTCAGTTCTTTTTTCCTTGTATAGTGAAAATGTGATGCGAATCTGAAAGACGCGAAGGGGAGTAATGTAGAAAGTAAAATCGATAATAAAAGATTTGTGATTAGAAAGGATTATAATCACAGCACTCCAAACAGACAGGGATACCGAGTCATGTCCTTTGGCGTTTTCCTTGGTACGGTAAGTGCAGGCATAGCATTGATAACATCACTTCTGTCCAGTACTAGACCAGTCATAGCAACCACAGAGTCAGCATGATAGACTGACCGCTCGTTCCCTTGAATACCTGCATGACCTGGCATGATATTAAAAGGTGTGCAGATGAAACGGTTGTTAATTGCAGGCAATGAGGAAGATCTGCAGCGTTTAGTTTAGGGTGAGAAACTAGGCTGTTATACTGCAAAAAAACGTGTATTATAGTCATCACAAAGATGACTGAAATACTAAAGTTTGAAAAACATGCAAACGGCACAGCCTTTAAGGAAGTTAATAGATTCAGTTATCTATAAACAGTCATAATATTGGATGCAAGATAAATGTCAAAACATCAGATGCAAAATAAGAGTAAGTATCTAAATATCCATTTTTTACTCCTTTATGGGCATACGGGAAGAGCATCCCATATTTGTATAGACCAATTAGCACTAGACGGGTAATGTGGTCAGCATTACACGGGCCATCTTTACTTTCCCAGGACGTACATCGTGGTACCGATTTTAGGCTGGGTCGACCTGCGACGCCTCATACCGTGAAAAAAAAATCCACGCAGCCAGCAGTTTTGAAGGCGGTACGCTGGAATTACGAGTCGAGCTCACATGGTAAAGGTGGCCGTTAGCAAGATGCAAAAGATTCTGACCAGTAAAAAATAATGTCAGTGAGAAAAAGAGTGTATCTATCCATGCATATAAGATAATTAAAAAAAAAAAAAAAAAGGAGAAGAAGCAGAAAAAAACAAAAACAATAATGAAGTGGAAAACAGCGACAGAAATAGGTAGGTATTCTTCTTCTTCGCATTCACCGGCTATAAACTCCGACGAAAAGTTTTTGGTTGTTCATCCACCTTCGGACCTTAGACTTGTTCCAGAACCTGGGTGTTACGTGCACATCCGTTTCACAGATCCTGAGTATTTTCATGCAGTCAGTTGGTTTCTTGCCTCTCAGGCATATGCACTTCGACTTCAAAGGGAACCCCTTGTTAGTTGACTCTTACGACATGCTTGTTGGGAAGGCAGTGGGTCTATTCTTGTTTTCCCTTCAATAGGGCCCTGGAACCCACATTGGAAATTTGTAGTCGTTTGTCTCCCCGTACCTGCCCGATTCCTGTTTCAGTGACAATCAAATAAAATATATATGACCTCCCTATTTGAAAATTAGATATTAACATATCACTCCCAGTAAAATCCTGAAGCTCGCACACGCAAAGTAAATGCACAAGGCAGCCCTTTTAAGGCATCCCATTTCGCTAGTGTAATAGACACTTTATGGTGAGTACCGGCACTTCTGTTTCTTGGAGGAAAGCCCCAGGTCCTCACTACCCACCAATGTCTGTTGTGTATGTCAGTGATTCCCAAACTGTGGGAAAGCCGCGACCTCTTCACACAGGCACCGCGAATGTTGTTAAAAGCTTCTTAATTAATTTAACCAAGACACGAATAGTCATACTTCTACTTAGGTTAGGGCGTCGTAAAAAAAAAAAAAAAAAACGCCGTCACCAAGAAAAGTTTGGTAAACACTGATGTAGGCTGTAACTTGTATTCTTCTTTTGCTTCTGCTCTCATAGGCGTATCAAGTTTACATCCCCACAACGACCAAACCAACTGTGTATCTGATCTAGAAGCTGTGACATGAGAGCTAATAAAAAGCGTTGCCTTCTTCTTGTGCTAGTGCCGCTGCTTTGTTTTGTTCCTATGGCCGTGTATTACTTCAAAATCCAGGGTAGCCACAACATAGACGGTGAGCTCGAAAGAAAGAAGTCTTTGCTTGAAGATATCTTCAAGGCTTTGTCAAAGGTTGTGGAGTTTTTGAGTACAGACTTTGAGGAAATCAACATGGATGGCCTTTACGGCTACCGTATTTGTCAAGGTAAGCAATTCGCTGATAGTAGTAGTACTTTTACCCCACCAGGACATCACACAAGCGATAAACACCCGACGACCCAAAGTGCCACCATGTGGATGAGGATCACCCGTGGAGAGGTCCCAGAAACCAAGTTCAGCCATTAGACCATATTTATGGCCGGGCTATATTGCGGCCCCTGGCAAGAGCCAGGGTAGGGTTTCAAAATGAAGAAAGACTGCATCCCACAAGGGGATGACTAGATGTATGAATTCGCTGATGCCGAATGTTAAATATTAAATAAAGAATCGACATCAGAGCACACGGGACACTCCCATAAGTGCTCCGCCCCCATCTTCAGCAGCAAGCAGAGAGTTAAGATTTCAGTAGTACCAATAGCAGCCTGATTGTAAATCCGTTTAACCTTTCCCATGAGTGTTGATGGTCGACCAGATCCCTTGGCCACTCCACGCAGCACCATTCTTTTCTGACTAGGATGTTTCATCTGAGCCTTCCACGCTGTTTACTCGCTCCCAAGGACCCACCATTCTGTTTTTGACTTGGATGATTCATCTGATCCTCTGCACTGTTTACTCGCTCCCAAGAACCCTTACAACAATTAATTTGTCATGCATCAGTTGACTACAAAGTTGTGCAGAACCAGCCAGTCTTTTTGCCTGTTAATTTCCTCATACATCTGCTTAGTAAGTAAACACACAAAAAAGTAAAGGTCTCTTTTCCCACGCCTTCAGGTGTATAGGGCATATAGGGTTAGACTTATATTTTTCATAGACCAATCGGCACAAGGTGGGTAATGTAGACAGCATCACGCCAACCGCCTTTATTTCCCGGGATTGCACCCACTCAAGGCTGGGTTGACCTGGGAGTCAAGGTCATTTTGGAAAAAATAGTCCGGCTCCGCTAGGGAGCGAACACATCGGCATATCCTGGGGAAAATATCTGAAGAACTCTTACTACCCGAGAAAACTGAAATAATACTGCCACTCTTCACGGAGCATACCGAACTCCACCTTTCCCAACATGCGCTGTGAGTCAGTTACAATTACTACATGTGTGTACAGCTGATTTTCAAGCCAGCGAAAGGCTGCAGTTACTGCCTCCACCTCCATTCTCAGATTAGATGTTCTGGTAACAATTGCTAATTCGCCAGCATTAAGTATGCTTTTAAAGCCAACATTTGGTTAAAGCCGTTTATCTACTTTTTTTGGAAGCCAGCCTATGCTTCGCTTTAAGGAAACTGTAGCCTTCAACAAACTACTGACAATTAAAATACTTTTAGGTAACTAATATTCTACGAAAATGTAAATTTACTTAAATTTAAGCACACACTATAATTCATTTCAAGGGGAAGTCAATCAGTATGTCACAAATGGTAATTGGATGGCAGGAAAATGTAGTTGGTGGTTTCTATATGTGTCATTAGATGACAGCAACATCGAACTTTTTGTCTTCGTTCATTAGGTGGCGCTAGGTGTTGCATACGTTTTCGCAACACATAAAAAATGGCGACTGCACTTACAGTGTACACTCAAAAAGCAACGTACTGTTGTGCGCTTTTTTTTTTAATGGCAAAAGAGCTGCCTGCAACGGACATTCATAAGGAAATGCTTCCTGTTTATGCTGGCAAATGTTTATTCCGTACATTGGTGCGCAGCTGGCTAAAAAAAAAATTCTTAAGGACGCTCTAAAATTGTTGATGAAGATAAAAGTCCAATCTGATTGTTATGTTGAGACTGCAAGAGATGCATTCGTGCAGCAGGTGGAGGAGATGATTAGAGGTGACAGGCGTGCAACGGTTGACTCTGTAGCAGCTACAAGAGCGTGCTCACATAGTTCAGCATACAACATAATGCATGATCGACTGAAATTTAAGAAAGTTTGCTCAATGTTTGCACCCAGACAATTGATGGACAAACACAACATGAACAGTTTAAGCATGTCCTTGCAGCATCTCTGTCGATACGAAGATGAAGAAGAAGACATGCTGGACAGGATTATTGCTGGGGACGAATTGTTGATGCATCACCAACAGCCCGAATAAAATGAGTCCTTAAATGCAATGGAAACATCTTTCTTGGCCTTGTGTTAAAAATGTCAAGGTTGCACCATTAGCAGGGAAGATTATGCTGACAGTGTTCTGGGATTGTCAAGTAGTGTGTTTAACAAATTTCAAAGACATAGGTGGCACTGCGAATGCTGATTAATATTGTAAAGTTCTATCAATGCTTCATGAAGCAATTCGATGAAAACGCGCAGGACTGCTGACTAGAGGAGTACTGCTTCTTCATGGCAATGCCAGACCACATACGGCTCTGTTAACTCAGGAGAAGATTAGCCATCTAGTGTGGCAACTTCTGGAACATCCGACTTGCAGCCCCTACTTATCCCCTAGCGATTTCCACCTTCTTGGTCCACTGGAAACCTACATTGGCGGGAGACATTTCAGAATGACGCAGAAGTTCAATGTGAAGTAAAAATGTTGTTTAGAAAACAGAGCAGGCTGTTCTTTGCAGCAGGCCTGTGATGACTGGTAAAATAATGGGACAAGGGACAAGTGCATCAATGTTGGTGGATATTATGTTGTAAAATAAAAGGACAGTGAATGTGTAATTTTTGTTGTTGTTGTTGAAACAACTAATTGTGACTTACTTATTGACTTCCCCTTCGTACTTTCTATTATATGAAATATACCACTGAAGTGTAAAACACATATTGTATACCTTATATACTTTTGACTTGTTTTATCCGAAATTTTACTGAAATGTTAGTAAACTTATTTTATACCCAAAATTAACTTTGGTGTAAAATCGTGAACCACAATTGAAGTGGATAAGTCGAGTTTTAAAGCCTGAAGGTCAGCCCAAAACTATAGGTTGGCTTTTTAGGTCGGCATAAAATGTGTTGGATAAGTATAAATCTAAAAATATAATTGTGAGTTTATAATCTTGATAAATATGTGTACGTCAAGTCGACCCGTGCGTCGCAAATTTGCCGGACTTTTGAAATGTTAAAACAAACATTTTATCCAATATTGTACTTGAATGTTAAGATATTTACTTTTAGAAACAAGTTTTTTTTTTTTTTAATGGTAAAAACACATACTTCTATTATTCAAATGCAGGAAGCCTTATTGGAGCTCTTCAAGACTGCTCACGTGGAAGCTATAACTGCCCAGACGAGCTCATAATTAAACTTCGTTTAGTCATTGAACGACTCCATGAGTTAGGCGACAAAGCTTTGCCTTATGTTAAGGTTGGTAATTTCGTGTGATATTGTAAGATCATATGTTTGCATGTCTGAGCGTTGAGTTGTTGTCAGTTGACAGGGGTGGCGAAAGCCGAGTGCTCTGGCACCTTTTACCCACAGTAAATTTTAGCCGAACTGAGGTTACTTTGTTTCGTTGCCACTGTGTCTTGACAGTAAAATGCCCAATGCTTTTGGAAAACTCACGAGCAACACAAGCCAGATTAGAAAAATTCGGCAAGTCTGCTTTTAAATATTTCCTGCTGTTTATGTCTTAAATGGTCGCAAAGAAGAATTAGATGGTCCTTGAGACAAATGTAGAATTACCCGCCTGGTCCGTTATAAACAGGACACACACATTTCCTCGCCACACGATATTTGTGTGGGGTAATCTAAGATTATAACACCTCCCCTACATCTCTGTCCAAACACAATCACCTACTGAAGCTCTGTTATATATTCCTAAATGTGTCTTTTCAGGTTGATTATTTGCAGAAATCATAGTGGTTTTTTTCCTTTCGATTAACATACTTTCCTTTGTTACCCAAACTCCGATATGTGTCTGTCCCTACATTTGTGTGCCATTTCTCATTCTCTTATAATGTCGACACATTCCTGGGTGAACCAAAGTGATTAAGTCTGATGTTTCACGGGACCTTCTTAACTGTCACATATTTAACATACTCATCAATGAAGGTCTTCAGAGCGTCATCTGGATCAGGGAGTTGATAAACGTGGTCAAGTGGGGAACTTAGCAAATTTAATAGTAAAATCTGATTAAAATTTTTTAAAGTTCTAAATGTTATGATCCTGTTTTGAAATTTTAGTTCCCCATTTCCATCATGCACAGCGAACAGAAAAATGATCGCTCTGAAGCAGTGGGTACCTTGCATTTTGTTATAAAATCGAGACAAGTTGCATAAATGTGATCTGTTAGTGTTAAAGGTGATTTAGTTACTCTAGTAACTTGTTTAACTGATCGTTAGAGATTGCATGATTCAACTATATCCTTCTATGTGTTGCTAGACTTTTAAGTATCGATACTGAAGTCTCCAAGAAGTATGATTTTTCCACCCATTGTAAACACTGCATCCATCATGATAATAAAGTTTTCATACCGTATGTTTCCAGCGCTGGGGTTTCGATAAGATAACAAACTACTAGGGGTCTGTAATTTTTTAGTTTTAATTTTAGCTAAATACAATCTATATCAATAGTACGAGACGTTTTGTCATTCAGCATACGACTGCACAACTAACCATGAGTTTAAGAGAGATAGGTAGATTAGATAGGTAGATAGATAGATAGATAGATAGATAGATAGATAGATAGATAGATAGATAGATAGATAGATAGATAGATAGATAGATAGATAGATAGATAGATAGATAGATAGATAGATAGAAAGATAGATAGATAGATAGATAGATAGATAGATAGATAGATAGATAGATAGATAGATAGATAGATAGATAGATAGATAGATAGATAGATAGATAGATAGATAGATAGATAGATAGATAGATAGATAGATAGATAGATAGATAGATAGATAGATAGATAGATAGATAGATAGATAGATAGATAGATAGATAGATAGATAGATAGATAGATAGATAGATAGATAGATAGATAGATAGATAGATAGATAGATAGATAGATAGATAGATAGATAGATAGATAGATAGATAGATCGATCGATCGATCGATCGATCGATCGATCGATCGATCGATCGATCGATCGATCGATCGATCGATCGATCGATCGATCGATAGATAGATAGATAGATAGATAGATAGATAGATAGATAGATAGATAGATAGATAGATAGATAGATAGATAGATAGATAGATAGATAGATAGATAGATAGATAGATAGATAGATAGATAGATAGATAGATAGATAGATAGATAGATAGATAGATAGATAGATAGATAGATAGATAGATAGATAGATAGATAGATAGATAGATAGATAGATCGATCGATCGATCGATCGATCGATCGATCGATCGATCGATCGATCGATAGATAGATAGATAGATAGATAGATAGATAGATAGATAGATAGATAGATAGATAGATTAGATAGATAGATAGATAGATAGATAGATAGATAGATAGATAGATAGATAGATAGATAGATAGATAGATAGATAGATAGATAGATAGATAGATAGATAGATAGATAGATAGATAGATAGATAGATAGATAGATAGATAGATAGATAGATAGATAGATAGATAGATAGATAGATAGATAGATCGATCGATCGATCGATCGATAGATAGATAGATAGATAGATAGATAGATAGATAGATAGATAGATAGATAGATAGATAGATAGATAGATAGATAGATAGATAGATAGATAGATAGATAGATAGATAGATAGATAGATAGATAGATAGATAGATAGATAGATAGATAGATAGATAGATAGATAGATAGATAGATAGATAGATAGATAGATAGATAGATAGATAGATAGATAGATAGATAGATAGATAGATAGATAGATAGATAGATAGATAGATAGATAGATAGATAGATAGATAGATAGATAGATAGATAGATCGATCGATCGATCGATCGATCGATAGATCGATCGATCGATCGATAGGATAGATAGATAGATAGATAGATAGATAGATAGATAGATAGATAGATAGATAGATAGATAGATAGATAGAGGTGGTTGTTATGCACCTATGATTTTTTTTTTTTTTTTGCAGAGCAGGGCTGCCGAATAACTTTATGAGTTGTAGGATTTTATTTTTTTTGGGGGGGGGGGGGGGGGGGGGGGTTTAAAAGTACCAAAACATACGGAAAGGTTTAATTTCAAAACTGTTTAAACATCTTAAAAAATAAACACATATAGAACTGGTCTACCTTATATGTAATCAAAAGTGGAATTCTGCATCCATTTCATCCGCGTTGTTGTACCATCTGCAATTTCGCTCAACTTCTTGCGCAGCTGATGTGGCGGCTTTCAGCTGGTGTAATAAATGTCCTGGAGCAAAAAAAATTTGATCTCGTCGATGCATTTAGTGTTAAAGTATTCAAAGAAGGATGTGATTTTGTTAAATTTGTAGTATAGTTAAGGAGAGAGGAAATTAAAACTTTTCAAAACATCGGGCGTTGTACCGAAAGTACAGTTTTTGCTCGGCAAGGGTCAAACAGTGCCAGATTTGTATAAAAGTACCAACTTCGGCAGCCCGGACCTAGAATGGTTTTGAGATAACCCAACTCATAGGTCAGAGACTTGGCTGCAACCAAAATTGTCGTTTGTGCTGGGTAAAGCTCCTCTAGTTAAACTAAACAAACGTCAAGGAGACCTTTGAGCATGACTAAAACAAAAGTGTGCTGGGGGGAGTGGGGGGAATCTCCTGTTAACTCATTTCACGTTTTCCCCTTGTGTGTTCCTAGTCACTATTGGGAGGAAGGGAGGAGGACGGTGGCTAGACTGACTTATTGGGGATGTTTCCTCTGAAGTAGGAGAGCATAAGTCTGAGAGGCGAGGAATCAGTTGCGCATAATTGAGCCGCTTCTGTAACAGGGATGTGCATGCTAAACTCAAGCTTAACAAGAATAAATCTAGAAGTGGACGAACCACCACGATCTTCCTCTGGAGTTAACCTTCACTGAATGCAAAGAAGAGGGAAGTAGAAATAAATATAGGGAATGTTCAAAATACTTTTTATCTTCTAAGAGAGTGTGTAGTCTGTGCGCAGATTACGTTTGTTTGTGAGTGTATGTCAAGAGGCAAGTGTTAGTTTTTATTT